TATCATTTGGGAATGGAAAGAACACGGACCCTGCCGGTTCTAGAGTGCAACGCAGAAGCCCAACCTTGTTTCTTGCTAAGAAATGTCTCCTTTGTGCCTGTTTCTGGCAGAAGCTGGGCTGGGGGATCACAGCACATGGCTGCCACAACCTGTGTTTAATGTGGTGACACTAATGAATTCCGAGAATTAGTCTTCAGCCAGGAAAGTATGATAGAAGGTACTAGAATTTCACATTAGGTAAGGGATTGATTTCCTTCAAAGGTGGAATTTGCTTCCATTTTCTTCTGGTGGACTTTTCTGTCCTGTTCAAACCACCTACTATGGCCTTCTAAATCCAGGGTAAATCCAGGCAATCTATCTCATGGTAGTTTTACATTTTTAATTTTCTTATTTTGTTTTGTCTCTTGGCATAGAGAGAACCACACCTAGACCCAGACTTTAAAAAATGATTTAAAAACACCTGGGAATGAAAGAGCTACTTAAGACTTTTGGAAGAAAGTAGTATCCTTAAATTGAATCCTTGTTTACTTTTTCCCTGAGTAAAAGACTCTGGAAAGAGCTGAACTTAAGGAATGTATTTCCCCAGCTTGAGACACTGACTTCTACAGAAACAACAGCCTACAGGTATCTCAAATGTGCTGCTGACAACCCGACGCTCTGGGTGTTTCCCGAGTCAGCTGAGAGGAGGACTCTGCTGCCCATTCCGAGGGCTTCATACTGATTTCTCCCAGCTGTGCTTCCAAGGATGCCATTTGCAGGGCCCTGGTTCCACTGATACAAGAAAGAGTCTGGGGCCAAGTAAGTTTGGACATGTGGGCTTAAACAAAATCAAGCTGTTTTCTTTATCCCAGAAGTTCTGAGAACATTTCATATGTTCAGGTGCATTATAAAACACCAGACTTACTTGGTTAGAGAATCACCAGTGTTTCCCAGACCTTTCTGACCAGTACACTGATTCCACTTTTCAGTGGAATGTCTTACGTGTTTCACCCAACTCACCCCGTGTTGGCTGGCCCCCACTCCCCATATAGAGGTCAACATTCTCTGCATTCTCTTATAAAAGCTCTCACTCCTGGGGTGCCTGGGTGACTCAGTTGAGCATCTGACTTTGGCTTGGGTCATGATCTGGTGGCTTGTGGGTTCAAGCCCCACATCAGGCTCTGTGCTGACAGCTAGCTCAGAGCCTGGAGCCTGCTTCAGATTCTGTGTCTCCTTCTGTCTCTCTCTGCCCCTCCCCTGCTTGTGTTCTCGTTTTCTCTCTCTCTCTCTCTCTCTCTCAGAAATAAATAAATATTAAAAACTCTCACTCCCTGGCTGGGAGAAAATATTCTGCATCTTGCATTTGCAATTTCCGGTTTAAAAAGCCATCCTGAAATGAGTAAGCATATTATAACTCCTTAGTTTTCAATGTTTATTCTTCCCAAGTCAGGTTGGAGGATTCTATCATGTTTTCCGAAATGACGTGGAGGCTTTCAGGTGTTCTTACAGATTCCAGTAGTCGATTCTATCTTAATCCACTAAATCCCTGCCTGGAAGGAGAGTAAGACAGAAATGAAGAGCTGACAGAAGTAAATGGTATGAGTTTGGAGTCTCAGGCAATAAAGAATATACCCTAGTTAAAATTGGGAAAGGGACTAAAACGAAGAATTGTTCTTGGGCTTTCAAAGGAGGAAGTTTAAGGAGCACGGGGGAATGTTCTGGTGGCCTTCTGAGTTCCTGGCTACACAGCTTGCCCATTCTGGCTTCTTGCACTGCCCATCCAGTGTTTTGAAATATCTTCTACATTTTCTCCACCAATTGAGTTGAATTTCATTCCAGATTTCCTCCCAAACCTGGCTCACTTCTTACATCCCCCACTAAGGCTTCCCTGACAGAAATTCCCTGTCCCGCCTACTGTTCTGTATGGCTGCATTTGTGCCATTTAAAATATAGTACAGAGGGGGGAAAGACTATCCCATCTGAGTCAGAGAATTAGCCTTATCTCTGTAGGACTTGAACTTCCTCACCTCTTGCAAAAAGGGATTAGAATAGACAATCTCAGTCCCTTAGCTTCAAAATCCTATGCTTTTGTGTGATTATTTCTCATTCTGCATATAGAAACAAACACTGGCCTTTGCTGTTTCCTATATTTCTCTTGTCCTTCCATTTTTCCAATTAGATTGTAGATCCTCAAGGAAAAGGGTCGTAATTCTTTGTGAATTAATTTATTTTGACTAATTCTGGCTGTGTAATAAATGTTTGCTGAACAAGTGAAATTATATGATTCCAATGACCTCGAGTTTAGTAATGCATGACTTTCAGCCCTATCTGCTCCTAAGGTAGTACTGTCCTCGGTTATCAGTAAAATAATAATTCCATTTCGGTCTGGCTGTTTGCTCCCCATGAGAAAAAAGTATGCAAAAGTGTTTTAGAATAAGGCTATACCCTCAAGGTCTTTATGCCCTTCGCCTAAAAATCCTCCAGTGCAGCTGGGTATGCCACAACTCTGCTTAGCATTCTTCCCATATATACGCATTTTCAGTTTTGCTGATCCAATGAGATGACATTCAGCCCACTCGGGTCTTACTGAGAGAACGAACAAATTCTTCTGCTCATTGCTTCCAGAGAGTAGAATGCCTACTATCTTCATTTTGGGGATCTTCAAGAGACAACAGATCCACTTGTTAGTTTCTTCCCTGTTTGATTATCTCGCTTCATTATTTACTTACCGTTTCTCTTACTCCCTCTGTGATATAAAGAGAGCTCATCTCCAAAATACCGAATGATCTAGCAACCTTGGGGGCAACCTTTCTCCCCCACTGGATGCCAAAGTTATGAAATAAGCTATAGCACCTTTAGTTACATTCCCAGACTCCAGCAGAGACCTATTTTCATAAAACTGGAGTATGGGTTTCTTAGCTTCTCTCAAACACTATCCAAAGAGCTTTCATTATTGAAGCACCAGAAGGACCTTGTTTCTAGGCCTCATGTGGAACACTGTCTCAAGGCACCGACCTGAGGAAGAAGGAAAAGTCGGTTCCATCCCACTTTCCCATTCACGTGCTATGAATTTTCTATTAATGAATGTGACACCCACCTTCATTCGCAGTCCTGAGTTTACCCATTTGAAGTGTTGGCACTAGTCCATAAACAGTTGAGGGTTGCCCTAGTACTTTTGTTCAGTGCAGGAAAGATGTAGTGTGACCTGTCCCAGATCACTGGGCAGGCTTGATTCTTGGACTCCTGTACTACCCAAGCCCTCCAAGGCTCTGGGGGGGAGGGGGTGTGTGTGAAGCCTCAGTGTCCATCTGCAGCAGGAACTCACAGCGGACATAGACTGTATTTTAGGAGATTTCATCTACAGACCCTCAAGCCAGGAAGACAGGGCCCCTACACCTGCACTACTGACCCTATAACTACCAGGAGGTTCCTTATTTTCCAGGTGCTTAGGGAAACAAATTTATTTTCCTTTGGTAGTCAACTGTACATTTACAGATGAATATACCTGGAATCCAGGGAAGATTGCTAATATAAAAACATGATCATAGTATTTTTTAAGGATGTGCACTGATTTTTTTTCTCTTTTTGGTAAGAGAACTACTAGATTATACCAAAGTCCCCTGAACCCATAAGAGTCAAATGATTGATTTCTTCCCATGGCAAGGCAGAGGTGGTATTTATAATTCTGCAGGCAACAGATTGAAGATAATCTAGATTCTTCTGGCATTTCTAACTGAAAGCTCTGGTTCCAATAGATAGGAAATCCCTTGAATCAGTTCTAAAACTGACTTTTTGGGAAATTAACTGAATATCTTTTCAGGACTAGGAGGTGAGGGATCAGAAAGTGGTTTGAAATGTAAAGTGAAAAGATTAAAGCCATTTTGTAAATCCAACAGTTAAGGATTGTTTTAAGAACTCTGCTTAAATGTTTTGAAAAGACGCTCAAGGTGAAGCTGATTATTCTTACTCTTTGTGAGTACATTTCATTATTTAAAATATTATGTGTTTTAGATGTTGCTGTCCCATCAGTATTGAGAAAACTGGAAACGTTTGTTTCGCACAGTAGCCCGAATGGCTTTTAGAATTTATCCTAAGCTTCCAAAGTGAGCTAAAAACTGATAGCTTAAAAGGGCAGTTGTTGACATTTCTTTCTCCTATCAGGGACACCAACTCAGAGTGAAAATACAATGGTAGTTGGAGGGGTATTCATCAGATTCAATTTCACTAGAAAATTTCATTGTATCAGAATCATCTTTGATAACATAGGGCATGCAGCAAAACGTACTAAATCATTGTTTTCTTTGAAAAGGGCATTTGAATCTGAAACAAAAAAGTGGTTATACCAGTGTGGTTTTAACCAATTAACCACAAAGGAGTTTAAATGCAACCCAAGTTTTACTATTTGCAATGGACTTTTTGTTCCCTGTTTGTGTAATTCCCTTCCAGTTCTTCTGAATTATATTGTGGTCCTTTCCTGTTCTGACGTTTTTCTGCTTCTTTAGAAAACATTAGAAATCAAGGTGTCGGACTTTCTCTGTGAAGGTTTCTTGATGATCAGTTTCTTTCCTTGCAAACTCCTGAATGCATTTTCTTTACCATCAAATAGTGGACATTTCACATATTAGAATTTTATTTGGGTGACAGTATATAGTTTTATATGTTTCTAAAATATGTAGACTAAGCTGCCTGACTCCATTGTAAACATTTCTGCAGTGAAAATTCAGACAGAAAATTCAGTCTTATCAGTCCATTTTTTCAGTGTTTTGAGTACTTCAAATTCACTTAATGGCAAAAATTTATTGTGTTTTCAACATAAAATAGACTTCTGATGTACTGATTAATTCGACTAGCAGAGAATTATTATTCGTTTTTACCCCCTGGTACGTATGAATAAAGAAAGAGCTGTGTAAAGTTAGTGATCAGGTTTTATAAATGAGCTTTTTTGCCTCCTTTCTCTCATATTCACAGAGGAACCAGGTATCTAAATTGTACTTTGGATTGTTGTTGATTTTTGCAAACAGGTGTCTTATTAAGGATTTTGAAAAGCGGCCTTCCGTCACACATCTCCTCGACCACCCATTTATTAAAGAAGCCCACGGGAAGGTTTTATTTCTGCAAAAACAGCTGGCCAAGGTCCTCCAAGACCAGAAGCATCTAAACCCTGTTGTTAAAACTAGGTATGGTATTCATCCTCTTCATGTCTTCCTACTCCTCTCTCTGGTTATTTATAAGAATGGTGTCTCATGTGTTTTGATTTGCTCGGCATTAGTACTGGTAATTATCACATCCTGCATTTTTGAGAGTTTCATTTACATGACATTAAGTACTCTACACTCAGTGGATGAGATCAGGAGAGCTTTAGAAACAAGTTGTCCATTCGTGCTCTTATGGCTATCGTCTCTCAACGGTGCCCTTGTGTTCTAGTTAAACGCCACACACCTATGTGTTTATATTTAATATAAATGTGAATTTTTAAAACCAATAGAGGTAGCTGTATGGAAGCAGCCATTGCTGAGATTGTGTGAGAAATCAGTACTTGGCCGTTGCTGATTGGAAAGCAGAAATGTTGGCTGTAAAGCGATTTTGGAAAGATTACAGGTTAAACACTGGAGGATTTTTCTCTAATGTGCTCGGAGACCCTATTCTTTAGTTAAAGACTCCTTAGGGACAATTTAGTATTTTTAAATGATTTTTTCCCCCATAGGTGATGTCTGTGCTCTCCAGAACAAGTGATTCTCCCTCCCTGCCCTCCTTTTCCAAAGCGTAGATTTTAAGAAATAAACGTTTGTTTTCAGGGACAGTTGCATCAAATGGCATTCCGTGGTGGTCTCTAAGAAATAGATCTTTGGTTTCTGTCCAGAGGGTGGCAGAATTTCTCTTTAACAGAATTTTTAAAAATGCAAATAAGTCTGCTTCCCAGCTCAGCAATTATTTGGTTTTTGTAGAACTGGCCAGGATGTAGATAAGCTCTAATCCATTATTAGTAAGAGAACATTCAGAGGACTGGAGGTGAAGAAAATAAAATAGTGGTCACACTTTCTGGAAATATTCATGTATTCTGCAGAACACTGTTTACAAATCAAAAAGCATCTGAACCCTTAGAACTGGAGGCATGGTTTCAAGGTGACTATGTCTTGCTGATTTTCCCTTCCACCAGCCAGCAAGTTCCCTTTTGGAGAGCTCAAAACACATTTTTCCTACTCTTTCTGTCCCCTTTTCCACTGTCATTTGTGTTTCTATGGCTTGCCTACAGGGTAGAGAAATTCTTGTGACTTGGTGCTTTTTTGAAGCAGTAGGAACTTGCATTTAAGCCCCAGGGAACTAAATCCCTTTTCTTTCCCTGCTTTTGTTCCTATAAATCAGCCACTGCCCCCAAACCACCCACTTCTTTGCACCACACACAGCACTAGCACCAAAAATGAAGATGAAATCAAATCAAAGCAAATAGACCAAGCAAAAAAAACAAACCCAGCACTTAAATGCTCTAAGTTGAATCAGGCCTTTCCTCCTTTTCTCTGTTTGAAATCTACTGCAGAACAATTTCTAAGACTTAGGTTGCAAAGTTATTCAGCTTTTCACATTGGCCTGACTGTGTCTGCCCAGACGTATGTTCTCTTTTTAAAGACTTTCCTTCTTTTACCAAGAAAATCAGACTCCAGTCGCTCTCACCCGCTTCCTCTAATTTCTCTCGATCTTTGTTAACTTCTTTGCTATCAAAAGTCTCAGATGGTAGCAAAGTCTTCTCACAGCGTCTTTAGTTTCACTCAGGAGTTTGTATTTCCTTGAAAGTTATTAAAAAAAAAAAAAAAACCCATAATCACAGATGCCTGGATGGCTCTGTCAGTAGAGTGTGTGACTCTTGATCTCTAGGTTGTGAGTTTGAGCCCCACCTTGGGTGTGGAGATTACTTTAAAAAGAAGTAAATAAATAAAACAACAACAACAACAACAAGCCCACAACCTCACAAAAGAATCAAAACTTTAAACAGCACCTTCTTTATTAAGAGGTAGGAAAATTAATTCTGAAGGGAACACAATGCTTGTAATTGACACTTAACCTACCACCTTTCTCACGCTGTTACTTCCTTTTAGCAACTGGCAGGGCTTGGCTTCCGAGGTGTTTTTCAAGCCCACCCAGAAAAACTCTCAAATATCATTTGATGCTGGTAATTCAGTGTATTTAAAGTTGTGAGTTTACAAAATAAGGTGGGGGAAACAAAGAAAATTTGAGGTGAGTACATAGATGAGTGAGACAGATACCCAGTTTATCCCTCTTCTTCACAGTTATAGTCACCCGGCAGGCAGTACAGTATGGTGGTTAAAAGCACTGGGTCTGCCAGGTTCGAATCCCAGCTCAGCCAGTTAGGCACAGGTTATTAAATTGTTCTGTCCCGAGGTTTCTTCATCTATAAAACGGGGGTTCTTTTGAGGGTTAAGTGAGTCAGTGCATAAAAAGAATAGCTCTTACTACAAAATTAACTCTCACAGTGTTAGCAGTAGTAGAAGTCATATACATGGTCTGTTTAATTCAAAGTTCTTCATTTCTGTGCCACACCTCCTCTTGGACTTCTTAATTTGTGCAGATTCATCTGTACTTATCACATGACATCGTGAAAATAAACAGTACTGAGCTACTGAACGTCAAAAATACCAGTTTTATCTCATTTAAAATCTAATTTATTCATTTATTCATTCAGGAGACATTTATATGTGTGCGTGTGTCAGGCCCTCTGCTGAACAGAGGGACTACAAAGGCAAATCAGATACAGTTCCTGATAAAGAGCTAATAGTCCAGTGTGTGAAACAGACAAGAATCAGACGAGAACAGCTCAACATGAAAAGTACCTGGATGTTGAAGTACTTCCTAGAACACCTGGGAAGAAAAGACCCCTGGACCTTTGGAGCATCCTATGGAACAAATAGAGGAGTTGAGGAAAGAGATTATTTTAGATAGAGGGGAATAATGAGCTGTGAGCAGAGGAGTTGAGGAAAGAGGTTATTTTAGATAGAAGGGAATAATGAGCTGTGAGCAGAGGGCAAAGGCACAGAGACTGAGGAGAGCTTAAGGAATCTGGTGAACAATTAGTTAGCATTACTGGAGCCTGGCATGGAACAGGAGGAGGGAGAAGCATGGCAGGCAGAAGGCAGGTTCTGATGGGCTAAGAAGCTTGGATTTGTTCCTTAGTCACTCAAGGACTAAGTCACTAATCCCTGAAGGCTTTCAAGGAGGCTTGTGCTCCAGGAAGATCATTCTAACTGCAGTGTCGAGAATGTAATGGAGCTGGGCAAGGCGGGAGCCAGAGAAATGAGGGAGCAGGTTGTAACAGTTGCAAATAACAGAGGGTATTAAGATGATGGCATTGTCAGGACCTTGTGGTGGATTGGATGAGAGAGATCAGGGAGAGAGAGAGAGAGAAGTGTCACAAGGTCTACCCAAGTTAGGCTGCCTCTCTGCCCTGGTTCAGACTGCAATCAAACAGAAATTGTAAGACACTAGGAGACAGAGACCGGTAAAGAAACTTTCTTCCTCTTCCTGTTCTACCAAATGCAATGCCAAGGACTTACAGATATTATACAAAACTTCCAGCTTTCTGTCCAGGGTAGGATTATGCAGTATTGCAGACGGTCCTGGGTCCCCGAGCTGGACATACTTGTTTAATTTTGAGAGCTAATTCAGAGAAATGAGCCCTAACAGCCTGCAGGGAAAACTAACTGTTCCTGCAAAATCAAGGAATGTTCTATCAACTTCAGTATTTTCTTCAGGGGAGAGAGAAGTTGAAAATTTGAGGGGGAGAAGGCAGGTTTTTAAAGGATTGGGGAAACTTGGACAGAGGAAGGGGAAGATCTGATGTCTAGGGAGACACTGAAAATAAAGAGAGAGAAAGTAATAGAGGAAGCAAGAGGAAGTGGGAACAAAGGCCTAAAAGGAAGACTGGCCTTAGGAGGAACCTCTAGGTTGGGAAAGACACAGAAAGGATTAGATGAAGATATCTAGAAAATTTGAGGGGCAGGGATGGGGGTAAGGAGAGAGAGTCCTATGAGGAAACTCATGTTGAATGCCCTTTATCTTTCAAAAAAAAAAAAAATTAAGGTGGTCTCAAGGTCTCAAAGCAGGCTGTGGACTCCAGGAAAATGTTAGCTCTGAAATAGCCACTAGGAGAAATATGATAAAGGGCTTATTAAAGATGGACATGATCGATTGCTCAATAGCACAGAAAACCCACGAGGAACTTAATAGCATTCTGTTGTTGTGAAGTTTATCTCTGTTTAGGATAATGCTAATTACCTTGGTGCTCAAGACTGGAGACTGTCTTAGATGAACATGATGGGTAGACAAGGGGGCAAGGGAGCTAAGATGAGTAAGAGAGTATCCTTGGGGTCTTTTTGGGATTTGGAAGAAAGCGAAGCTAGAGTAGCTTTTTAACTTTTGAGGTTTAACTTTTGAGGTCTGGTCTAGGTCAGGAGATTGACAGTTACAGTGCAGATGAAGAGCAAATTCAGTGAGTGGATGGTGAGAAAGGGATTGTACAGATTTTGAGAAATAACTGAGAACTAGTCATGACTGAACTTGTGGACATACTTAGTGGCGTTAGAAATAAAAGTTGTTAGTTGACAAGTTGAGGGACCCTGAGATCAGCATGTGGGAAGAATTAACAAAGTGATTGGTGGGAGGTAGGGGGACCAAAGGCTGATACCAAGGGAATGGATAGAGAGAAAGGAGATTGGGGTCAGTTGTTGGAGGAGATGATATACAAAGGATGGTGTGAATTTTAAAAGGGGAAGATTGGTTAGGGAGAAGTATGGTTTGAAATGCAGAGGGGAGCAGGGAGGAGGCCCCTTCCACTACCTTCTCACAGTGAGTGGGTAGAAGGTGGAGCTAGGGCAGGGGCATTATGGGCAGTGGTGCACTTCAGTTCTGTTGAGATCATTAAGTGTTCAAGAACAAGCTAGGAATCATGGGAGCTTATTCACTATAGAGAAGCAACCACACTGTGCATGAAGAAGGGCTTAGATGGTGAGGCCCCATCTCCCCTCTCCTGGATCTAGGCATTCTAGCTGTGAACATTAGCTAGGGGCTACATTTCTTTTCTTTCTTTCTTTCTTTCTTTCTTTCTTTTTTACTTAATTGTCAGGGATGCTTTTAAACAATTTGGCCACGTCCTTTGTATCAGCTTCCA